TAACCCTCTTTTGTTGTAATTACTAATGCACATGTCAGCTCCAACATGAGCTCTTACAAAGAAGCTTAAGCAATCTAAGTCAAAATTTAAAGTCCCAAAGAGAAGAGATATTTCCTTGAGGAGAAACACACAAGTTATGGATTAGGTTATAGAGTCTCTTATCTACGAAAATTAAACATATGGTGCAAATAAAATGGAAGAAGGAACAAGGATTAGATAATGTTAGATATTGAGGTTATTGATGTAAATTTGGTAAATTGATAGGTTAGTAGCTAATTAGAAGAAGATAATAAACAAAAATAAGCAATGTGCATTAGTGATATTGGAGCCAAAGACATAAGAGGAGGACATTATTGAGGTAGTCAAAGAATTTGAAGAAAAATAGATGAAGGAAAGAAAGATTAAGTTAAAAAGAGAAGAAAGGATGAGAACATGATATAGAGAAGAAAGGAAAGTAAAATGATGATAATCTTAGTAATCTTAGTCAATTAATTTATGCCACGTAATAATGATAGTGTAATTTATTATGAATTACATCATTATTTAAAAGAATAACTTTTATGGCAAAAGCTAAAATTAACAATTTTTTGAAATAATATTTTAAATATTAAAAAAAATTATACTAAGGACCAAAATAGAAGACTTGTAGTTATAAGGATTAATAAATCGTATAAACTTAAAAATTAGACTTGATGAAATTATTTATGCACATGAGTACTCAAAGGTAAAAACTATTATGGATAAAAATATTTGTATTCGTTAATATTTATGAGTTTAATTAAATGAAGTTTTTCTTTACTTCTTTGTTAATGGAGTAGAATTAATATTGGACACTTGCATACATTAAATTAATAGAATGCTCATATGCATATATAGATAAATCTAAGTTTAGATTGTCTCTGGCCTTAATTTCTCTCCATCCAAAATCTCAACAATACAAAATATCATCTCTCATTTGGAGAGAATCCAAAGTCATAAACTCTCACTATAACTTTATTATTTTATGAATCTTTGAATGTGTGCTTGAAGTTAATGTTATATTATGGTTATTGTGTCTATATTTTATTCTTTTTAACTTCAAGTATTCTATTTTTTTTCTTTAAATTATAACTTTGTATATAAATACCTCTAAAGTAAGTTATTTTTCTTTATTTTTTTCTAAATGATACCAACATATATTTTCACTGAAAATCACTAATTCGTTCAAACTCACTTAATCAGTATCTATGTGGTTATAAGATAAATTTCATATTTTCTAATTTTTTAATACATAATTTATATATAATTTAGTATATTAATAACATTAAATATTATATTTTTAATAAATTTTTATTCATTATTTTTTTTGTTATGTATCTTTAAACAAACATTAAAAAAATATTAAACCTATACTAATTTTTTGCTCTCAAAGTATATGAAAATTAATCAAAAAGAATAACCATCATATTTCCTTTTTCTTTTTCTGAAAATGCATCTTTTTTGAATCATCCTAACTTTACCCAAAGTTATCTCTAAAGGAAAAATATCTAACTGCTTTAATGAAATAACAAAGAGAGAGAGTGAGCATCGATTCCATTGGTACCAAAAGATGAATAAAGTTAAAAGAAGCAATGTGGGGTGCGAATTTTGTTCATGAGTCATGACCCTCTGAGTGACAGGGTGCTTAATATGCAATGCCTTCAATATCTTATAATAAGAAAATCAATGTAAAAGAATAATAAAAGATACTATAATTCTACAATAATGACAGGTAACAAAAGAGTATTGGGTACATTTTCTTTTATCTAATTAAATAAAATCTATAATTTTTATCCATAATTGTTTTTTGTTCCAAAAACTTATCACCTGAATGTTTGAAGGGGGGCAATAAAAAAATAACCCAAGACAAATTCACCTTATGGAATCCCAAAGATGAAATAATTCTATATTTTTTTTATAAAAGCTCCCTTTTTTAGTACGAAATTTTCAGAAACTTTGAAAAAATAATAGATGGTGAGATTATGGGCTAAGAAAGTCCCCACATCGACTGCACTTAATAATTACCTTGTGCCAATCTCAATTATAATTGGACCCAAAGGAAAAAGAAAAAAGCTCTATTATAACGCATCATTGCTTTTTTTATTTATTTTGAAGAGATAAGGCATCATTGTTTAAGTAACTTTCACTCAATAATAATGAGATTGAACTGTTTGCAACTGGGTTAAACATTTTTTGAACAATTTCAATTTTATTATTTATGCCTTAAAAATACATTTTTTAATTAAAATATTAAGAAATTTGATGAAGAATTGTTAAAAGAAAACAAATATAAAGTTACTTGAATTTGTCAATGACATATCCCAAATTCCTTGAGCCCATACTGCTTATCCTATTTGGACTTATCCATATTTCAGTGTGAATGAATGTAAGTTAATATTATAATTTTAAATTCAAATTCATGAAAATAACATAAAAATTTTAAAAATTAAATGGTTTTACATATTTCTGTCTCAAAATAAAATCATATTACAATTTTATGTGATTTTCTAATCACAATTTTTTTTATTATGTTGACTTACTTTTAAAATTAAATATATATATTTTTTAAAATAGGCAAACATTTATTTATTTTTCTAATGAAACCACGATAGACACGTTTCGGCATACACCAGTAACTTTTTTCTTTTTTACATTATACGAGTAGGTTTTAATTTTATATATATATATATATATATATATATATATATATAAGAATAATAAATATTTTAATTAATAATAATTTTTTATTTTATTCAATAAGAATAAATTGAAAATATAAATTTTTAAAGTGAGAAAAAAATCTTGAAATACTCTTTTAGACAAGACACATCATCAATATAGATACAATTATCAAAATATAAATTCAAAATTTATTTTAATTTAAGATTGATGTAATTTATAATAATATTAAATTTAAATAATATAAAATTTAAATTAAATTTAAATATTTAAAAAAATAAAAAATAAAAATTTTAAATGCTCAAGCAAATTAAACCGTGTTAATTAATTAAAAAATAAAGAGTTTATATAAAAACATTTTTATTCAACGAGAGGTATTTACAACATTAAATATATTTAGGTGCTTATAATGCAACCTATATATTATTTGGTTAATCTTATTCTTATAAAACTTGAATAATTATCTTTTAAAAATTACTAAATAATAATAATAATAATAATAAAACACCTTAAAAATTGTAGCTGACACTTTTTATATTGGTTAAATTTGTTCGGTCAAAGGACGAGTAAAAAATTCCTAACTTGATTTGCCTATTAAGATCACAATCAATTATAGTGTTACCTCATAATTTTTGAAAAGATATTCATTTATATACATGTATATTAATTGTTCCTTTGCCATGCTAAAAGATATAATAATTTTAAACCTTTTATTATATATATATATATATATATATATTATTAATCACTATACTTATTAAATAAAAAGTATCAAGTATTATTTATATTTTTCAAATATTATACATATATATATATATATATATAATATTTTATAAAATGATGGAGATTCATAAAAAAAATTATAAAATTATTGGTGTTGACTTTTTTGTCCAATTCAAAGACATCGTGGTTGCAAACTAAACTAAAATGTCATTAAAATATGAAAATTTATCTTATCGAAGGGTATACTCTATATTGAAAGTAAAATGGATTCTCTGCATTTCTTTTTATAGGAAATGAAGAAAGTATAGTAATTAAGAAATTTGAAAGCATTAATAATTTTTCAAATAAAATTTAGATTGCATTAATTTTAATTTGGATGAGATTGGTTCTTATTTATTTAATGATTTATTTGTTATTACTCATTTAATACTCTAACCTTTTTTTATTTTTCTCCTTATACCAAAAACACACACACATTAAAACTTTTCCTGATTTACCAATAGCAAATTAACTAAATTTACAAATAATATTTTATTAACAATGGAAAATATATCTTCCATTAACCGGTCAGAGTCAAACAATCTTAACCCCACTTTAAAATTTAACAAAATAAATCTTGGCTGCATATGAATTTCTATAGTAAATTTGAGACAACAATCAAAATAATAATAAAATATTTCGAGGGGTCGTGGCTCCTAATTTTTCTATAATTTAAATCATTCGATGTTTTTATTAAATGACTTTATTTTATTAAAATATAAATAAATGTTGATAATGAAATTACATATGCGAAAATTATTAAATAAAATAAATATTTATATATATATATATATAATATTTTTAACATTTATTTATACTTTTGACTTTTAATTATAAATAATGTATGATTGTATTCTTTAAATAATTTTTTTATCCAAATTTGGTCCTTAATTATTTTAATTAATACAATAATTTTTTTATCAAATTTTTTATTTTGAATTTTTTCTCAATTTTTTTTTATAAATTAAACCTTTGCAAATTATTTTCTAATCGAAATTCACTGATCAAAACATCATATTTAACTTAATACTAAAAAATTCATAACGTTTGTTTTCCTCAAAACCCCTAATATCACTATCATGAAAAAAAAATAGATGTCACATCATGCAAAAATATTTAAAATTTATCAATAATTCAATTTTAAAAAATTCAAATATTTCCTATCTCAAATATATCGCATATAAACTTTTAATTATTTAAATAAAAAATAAAGATACAGATCTTGTGTGAAAAAATTGATAAATTATTTATTTTTAACAATTAAAAATAAAAATTAAACGTAAATTAAAATAATTAAAAGAAAAACTGCATATTAATTTTTTAAAAAAAATTAAATATGCATTTTAATGTTCTTATTCTCAATAATATTTTATTGATTTAATCATGAGTTAAAATTCTCTGGTTTCAGCATTGTTGGTGATCATATCTTAAAATGTTTCGTATAAATCTAAAAAGCAATTGTTGAATAAAAATAAATGTATTAAATATTTTCCTTGCTATGATTGCACACATTCGCCACATAAATAATGTACGAAATAAGTAAATGAATAAAGAAAGAATAAAAGCAAAAAGCAGGGAGCAAAGCACACTGCGAGATTCTCTGCTTCTTCTCTTCTTCTTGTTCCGAAAGCCAAGGGAACACATATCATCATATAACATGAGAAGAAAGAAGAATCACTAAAATCAGAGAAAATTTCAGGGGTCATTCTCTCTAAAATACCCTTGAATTTTCTCTGGAATTTCCATTTTACTTCTAACGTGACACGCACACCCCATCACCATAGCCATACCCAAAAACCCAGAACCAACCGTGTACGAGGAAAAGCTGCAATTTTTTTTCTTAAAAAAATAAACCATCATATTCATAATGCTGTGTAAACTCGTTCCGGTGCCGCGCAAGAAAAAACCCGGTTCTTACCCGGTTCACCTTAACGTCTATGATCTTACCCCGATTAACGGTTATGCTTATTGGCTTGGCCTCGGTGTTTACCATTCTGGTGTTCAAGGTAACTAAAACTAACCCAGTTCTTTTTTTTGCTATCAAAGGAATTGAATCAAATTTTGGGTTGTTGGGTATTGCAAATTATCCGTGGAATAGGTTAGTGTGTGTGCGTAAAAGTTAAATTTCAATGAAATTTAAAATGGGATGTGTATAAACCATGCTTTAAGCCCAAAAGCTTCTGGTATGTAAGATAATAAATAATATAATGGCGCCATTAATGGAATATAACGATCTATTCTTTTAATTGAAGGATAAAGTTTCTTGGGTTACTTGAATTTTAATATAACTATTGCTATTACTGTTCAGTTGGGGAAAATACTGAAACCATACTAGTGTTGATATGTGCTGTAAGCTTTGATGTTTGTCATTGTGTTTATTTAAATATACTAATACCATAGGGTGCTGTATAAAGTTTTTGTTGTACTGGTTTTGGTCACTTGAAAACTGCTTTGATGTTTGTGTAGTTCATGGTGTTGAGTATGGATTTGGAGCGCATGAGCGTGATGCGACTGGTATATTTGAAGTGGAACCTAGACACTGTCCTGGATTTACTTTCAGAAAATCAATTTGCATTGGATGGACGGATCTGGGGGCGAAGGATGTTCGGTTGTTCATGGAGAAGCTAGCTGAAGAGTATTCTGGGAATACCTACCATCTTATCCAGAAAAACTGCAACCACTTCTGTAATGATGTTTGCGTCAGATTAACAGGAAAGTCAATCCCTCGATGGGTAAATCGGCTTGCTCGACTTGGTAAGGGATATATGTAAATGTATATTGTGATTAGTTGTTTTCCTTGTATGAGTTGATTTTTCACTCGGATGTTTGGATGATCTGTAAGAAGCTATGAAAATTGTGAAAAAGGAAGTGTTATATGAATTATTTCTATACGAAATAGATGTTAATTTGATGGATCAATGTGCTAGCTCACCTCTAGATCGTAGCTTGACACAAATCCCCTTTTGAAATTTAAATAATTTAGGCTGTGGACAAGATAAATTTGCTGGTACTTCTTGCATATCAACCACCACCATGCTTTGTGTAATTATCTGGTCATGAGTGTTAGAATTTAAATGTTATGCTTCAGCTTAGTCTTCGTTTCTTATTCCTGGTTTTAGGTTCTAATTACTTTCTGCATTGTTTTTCATCCAACTTTATTGGAAATAAATGAAGGACTAAATCCTTCGTTTTGTGGTTGATGACCAGTAACTTCAACGATCAGAATCCTGCATTTAATAAGAAACATTAGGTGACAAAAGAGATGTTTTGCAGGATCTATAATGCCTTTAAAATGAAAATCTCTGGCTGTTATATATATTACCCTACTCATTTTTCATTTAACATGTACATGTTATGTCATATTTGGCCCATGCAAATTTCTTATGTTCCTGTGCTGCATCTTATAAAAAAAGCAAACAACCGCTAAGCATTTCATGATTTCTGATGGTAAATTTTGGTTCCAAATATGAAGGTTTTCTCTGCAACTGCGTTCTTCCACCGAGCCTAAATGAAACGAAAGTTCGCCAAGTTACATTAGACAGGGTTCAAGACGGGGAAAAGAAGAAAATGAGAAGCCAGTCCAGCAGGTACGAGGCTTCCCCCAACCCTCCATTGTCTAGTAGTCAAAGACATTGCCTTCCTCCGTCGTCATCTGTAATTAATGCTTCTTCATCCTCAACCATAACAGTAAAGTAAAGCTTTGACAGGGGTCAGCTCCAAAATATAGGCTGTTAGAATCGTGTAAGCAATCAAAGATGGGCAGAGAAGCAACTTTTTCATCTGCCCCATCTTTCTGTTCTCTTGTATATCCTTCATTGTGTGGCAATGGCTAAAATGAAATGGTGGCGTTGTCTATTTTCTCTTTAAATGCTTGCTTTCTATAGTGGGCAGAAAGGGTCTTTATTTCTAGATTTTTGGGTTATGCATCTCGGAATCAAGATTTATCTATTAACTGCTGATGTAGCATATGGTAATGTGTTCATTGTGTTGGATAGTGTACATTTGCCGAAGTATGAATGTGAGACAAAGTAAGAGTGATGGTATGTTTTGAGGGCAATAAAGAGCAAATAGCACTAATTGGAGTCCAAATTTCTCTACCTAGTGCTTTAGATACTGAATCTAATTAAGGTTCTCAACATGCAATATGTGAAAAGTTAAGAAAAGCAGAAAATTTGGGGATGCTATATTCAGCAAATTAGCTTGAAATATAGTGTCCTAGCTTTGCTTTGCTTTCTGGATACTGAAATCCAAATTAGGCCTTGGATCTTATAATTTTGCACGGTTATTATTATCCTTTCACCATTTGGAGTTGGCATGGATTTGTAGGTTGATGATTGCTGGCAATGAATTATTAAATGCAAAGCAATGTTGTAGGAAAAAATTGTAGGTAGAGATAGATGCAGCTAATTGTTAGCTGCCACGTCAATTAGGTGGAATTTGAAAGCTGAAAGTTTCTAGGCATCTTAGGGGGATGTGTATATACGATCTCCTGAGGTTGGTCTAGTGCGTTTATTGGCTTTTGATGTTCAGTAGTTGGAGTAATCACAGATGAGTTGGTATGACATGAATGGGTTACCAAGAAGAATGAGTTGGAGCACTCTATGCCTACTTCATTATATATTGAGTCTGGATCTTTGAGGTTAATGAGTAACATGATATGATTATGTTAAGAAGAGAAAAATACAATTTATAGAAAATGACCAACCATGATTAGTTGGAGCACCCCACTAATTATATTTGACAAAAACCATGTCCCTACTCCTTCCTTTAACCACAAATCCTCTCATTTTGGGGGACACAATTTTCTTCCAAAATCAAAATTTGAACATTCACAACCATGGAATTAGACAACATTAGCATGTTGTCCCTGGCCACCCTCTTTGCTTGATCCGTTGTATTTTGGCACGTAGCAGTAGTGTAAAGGATAAGAAGCACCATAATATGAATTTTTCCCATACTTTGAACATGCATTATGCAAAACGTCGCGTGAAAGCATAACAACCAACAACGCCTTTTTCTATCTTTTGCAAATCATGACATCACACGTCGCCCCTTCCGCGATCTTTTTTATTCTTTCCTCCGTTATTCCAAATATGAAGAATTTCTTACGTGCATTCGTTAACAATTTAAAGCGTGCTACTATCGATGAATTTAAACATTTTTTAGATTAGATCGAGATTATCGTTAAACTGTTGAGAATATTTCGTTAGAGCATATAAATATTTTTGCCCAATTAGTCCCCAAAATATCATCTGTTATTGATTTCGCGTTGCCCACCTTTTCTTTTCTTCTGATGATGTCACGATTATATCACACCAAATTATTGAAGTCTTATGTAATTTATATTGATTTATACATGCATTTTAATTATAATTTAAAAGTTTCATGATTTTATTAAAATTAATTTTTCGCAACTTTAACTTTTAACTTAAATAAACATTTAAGTTCGAAACCATGATTTGGCTAAATATAAAAGTAATTTTGAGTGTGTAAATGATAAAGCAAACACAGAATACTAGTAGGCATTGGCAAATTAAAAGATAAACTTAAAAGAGTACAGTTATAGTACTTTATATCTCCCAACAAAAACGGCCTTCAGTCAAATGCTCTGTCCCAACTCGTGTAGAAAGTGAAGCATCCTATGTTCCACTTGCCTGTACAATTTTTCTTTTAGCAAAGACTAATAGTCTAATACCATTCCTTCTTTTTTCTTAAAATATTGCATATTCTTTTACATTTTTTCTTTATTTTATCTTAATCATCACATATTTTATTATTTTTTTATCTCAATCTTAAATTTTAAAAAATATTATAAAAACATGTCGTAGGACTAGAATAATCCTTTGGAAAAAGGGTATTTTGGTAATTAAAGTTGAATTTTGTTAATAAATAATAATATTTTATTTAAAATCTTATTATATCATGAAATAAAGTTTTTAATAAAAATTTATAATTTTAAATATTTAAAATTGAGATTAATTAAACAAATTTTTAAATAGTCAGGTGGATACTGAGTGTGAGAGGTACTTATGGACCCCGCTTGTTTCTCATCCTATTTGCCGACAATCAAATCAAATAACAAACATGTAGAATTTATTTACTTTTAGTCTTATTTGTAAAAGAATAATTTTTAATAACAAATTATTTGTAAGTATTTTTTAAGCTTTAAAGGTATGCTTGACGTCGACCAGTTCTAAATCTAACGGGATAAATTTTATTTTTATATAAAATTTTATAAAAATAAATAAATTAATATTATATTTTATAAAAAGTTATTAAATTATATAAGTGTAAAGCGATGGAAGCCCGTGGTTTCGGGACACGAACGGTTCCTAGTTTGAAGGTTTAGCAATTCCACTGCAATAGACAGCTTTCAACTCAGTATTTATTATTATATCGGAAACCATGCCAGTGCGAGACAAACAAGGAGCGTGTCCAGAGAGAGGCCAAATTTTATAAACTTGTTACTAATTACAAATATATGCATATAATTCAATCATTAAATAAATAATAAATGTATCTTAATTCAAAATTTCTTCAATCCTAAAAAAATGATATGATAATATAGATGTTACATGTCCCCTTAAATTCATTTTTTTCTTCAATAATGCTTGAATGATAAGATAGGAAGCCTTTCAGAAATTGCATAATATATTTTGATAGTGATTTTGTGTAGACAACGTGTTAAATTATTATTACTTGATGATGTAGTTCCCTAAAAGATTACATCCCATAAAAATATCATGCTGAACACTATCGATGCGGTATAACACGTGTAGTGCAACCAAAACAATTATTTAATACAAATTGCTCATGTCACTGACTCATAACTCACAAGAGTTTAATCGTCAACAAAAATCAATGGCAATTTTTTTAATGATTAACTATTTATTTTCCTTTGCCTTCACAAGAAGCTTGTAATTCATGGAATCCTTACCCTAAAAACAAAAATCATGTGGCCCATAATACAACAAGTGAGCTGCAAACAACCGACCAGAGATTCTTCTCTTGGAAACTCAGCATCACTTGCACATTGCATTAGGTCACACACTTTTCTATTGCTGTTTCTTAACAAGCACCGTCATTTTCTATAAGAATATTATAATTTTAATTTTTAATCACAAATATCTTCTATTAAAGATAATTTTGTTTGAACCAAGTAAGATTATTATAATACTTAAACTCAATCTAAGTTTTAAATCATAATTAACTTTATTTTTTATTTCGATTTTATCTTTCTTTTTCTCTTTTGCTTTATTTCAGTCTTTAAGTCTTTTAATTTAATTTGATCCTTATATATATTTCTTATGTGTTTTTTTTTCAATTCAATTTTTTTGCTTGGCAATAAAGCTGATAGCATTGACAAAATAGAATTAAGAATCAGAGCAATAATTTGATCATAAGTTTAAAATAATTATATTTTTAAAAAATAATTTATTTAATAAACTTTTAAGGACAAGACTTCATATTATTATTTTTTAATAAGAATACAGTTTTGCTGAGCCGTCATTCAAATATTAACGATTCAATTGAATTGAATATCACAACCAAAAAAAGAAAAAAGAAATGAACATGATTGAGTCTTGGTTGGAATGGGTCAACTATATTGGCGGTTAGTACCGGTCACAGTACAGTAGGCAGCAACAACAACAAAGCAAAGCTGCCAAATGCAAATGCACCAAAGAAAAACAAAATGTCCTAACTATCATGCCGTGGTTTGGTCTAACATTTGGCGTGCAAATCACGAGTACTGTTCTAATCACACACTCCCTCACAGCAGTTCCAATAACATCAACTCGTTTCCCATATCATCATCACACCAAAATATTGTTACAAAAAATAAATTTTACATTGCAAATGCAACAATTCTCTCCCAAAGCAAAACAAATCTGTTAGATCTAATCAAGTATACGAATCCCCCAATAGATTCATTCACATATGTTCACAAAACAAATGTGTTAGTGTGGGAAAAAAATAAATAAATAAATATATATATATATATATATATATATATATATATATATATTCTAATCTCTAACTAGTTAGCAATTAATAGTACCACAATCCAAGATCCAGCACCCACATCTTTATGGCACCTTTCACGCATGTTACTCTGTCTCTGGCTTGAATATTGAAGTGCTTTCCTTTCGCGTACCATTGCATAGTAATCCCGTTGTAAAACACGATTGAGATTGGTGAATTAGGCGAGTCTTCTTATTATAAACTCTTACTAAAAAATGTAAATATGAGATAATTGTTCACCTTTTCCAAGCATAAACAAGCAAGGAAAAGCCAAGAGGAACAACCAACTCATTCTCCTCCACGCTAGACCATTCCATAACAGAGGAACTTCCACCAAAAGACCCATGAGAAGATGACAAAGACGAAGAGGACCAACTCTTGCCATTTTTACCCCACTCACAAGACCCCAAATTCCACACATTCACCACACCCTTCTCTTCTCCAAACTCCTCTTTACCTCGTACCTCGTCATCCTCGAACTTAAACATAAAAACCGCGTGTCCCTCGTTGGCTCCGTTATTGTTATTATTATTATTATTATTATTATTATAAATATTCTCTTTCTCAAAAAGCCAATCGTGCACGTCCCACGAGATCTGCACGTGACCCCCGTCAATTTCCACTCTCTCGCTCCCTCTGAATTTCCACTTCAAGCGTTGCACTTCCAACACCTTCTCCTCGTCCACGCCGAACAACAGCCTCATGTTGTTATTATTGTTGTCCCCGTAACCATCGCAATCTATTTCTATTTCCCTATCCTTACCGCGGAACTTGGTTTTGGTTCGGTAAACTCGGTGACGATGCGGTGCCACGTGGACATGGTCCCTCTTGAGGAGGAGGAGTTGCCGGGTGTTGGGCTTTTGGGCCTTTAGTTTTGGGCTTAGGTCACCGATGAGGAGGGTGAGGTGGTGGTCGACCAGGAGGGCGAGGTAGAACTGGGAGTGAGGTTCGGGTCCTGATCCGAACCTCGCGTTGGATAGGTTCCAGGTTAGGAGGGTGTTGTGGGAGAGGTTCTTGGAGCCGTGCTTCTTCCAGAAAAGGAAGGGTTTGATGTGGAGGTGGAAGGAGGAGTGGTTACGGAGGTGAACGTGGAGAGAACGACCCAGAATGGAGCGTGACCATGTGAGGGAAACCGTGCCGGAATCGGTGTGGTAGATGTAGGTGATGAGGTTTGGGTTGGTGGAGGGCGGTGACGGCGGCGCGTAGTGGTTGTGGACGGTGGTTTTGGATGGGTGGAAGCAAGAAGAGAAGGTGGAGGAAATGAAGGACATTTGAGGGTTCGCTTTTGTTTAATGATGTTGTGTTTTATTGGTTATGGGGTGTGGAAGGAAAATAGGTTTGGTTTGGTTTTAAGGGTTTTGAAGATTTGGGTTTGAATTGTGAGGAAGAATTTTGGAATTAATAAAGAAGGATTGGGTTGGGTTTGGAGGTGTTAGGGGAGAATGAGAAAACAGTAGCACTTGTGAAATTTGACTCATCCTTTTTATATGTATACAAAATTTGAGAAGTAGCCAACATTGTTTAAAGAAAGTGGGAAAATGAAGAGGACTTGGAAAAGAGGTTTTGGAAGGACCATTTTGGTATTGGCACGTTTGGCTAGGGAATTACAACAATTTACAGCTACGTTCCACGGATTGGTGCAATGGATTTTGTTATACAAACACACAGCAAATCTCACATGGATTGGAACTATTAATGACAAATAGACGAATTAGGCAGAGAAATAGAAGCAAATCAAATTCATCAAAATCAAGTATCTTGTGTACATTTTATTATCAGTTGTATTAGATCAATTAATCTGTATTATTATTATTTTTATATCATTTAATAATTGTATAATTTTTTCTAGTGTATAAAAATATGTTTATTGCAATATTAACTTGTGTCCTTAAAGAATTAGTTAAAAAATTAAAATAATTTTTATTAAAATATTATTGAGCTATTTTATTGTAATTTTTAATGTTTTTTTTTTAGTATTTTATTGCAACGAAACTCTATGTTTATCGTCGATTTATTTAACAGAATAAATTTATATATACATAAACTAATATTCACGTAACTATTTGCTAATTCAGTAGAAGGTGTTCGTCGTAAAGCATTGTATTGTATAATAAATTTTTAAATGGACATTATTAATTTAAAATGGATCAATTAAACTAACACAAGGCAAAATTTGGTTCAATTTACTAAGTGAAGAGTTTTAAAAATTAAAATAGAGTTTGAATCTTGTAGGAAATTTAAAAACAAATTTTTTATTTATTATATTTTTTAAACAATTTTTCTATCTGGCACAGAGTCTGTTTAAAGTCTATCATTTTTATTTTTTTAAAAATTAATTTTGTCACATAAAGTGTGAAAAATGCAAGATGCTGTCATGTGTCACTTTATCAATAGTTTTGCCATAAAATGGACAAAATTAAAAGTTTAGTTGTGAACAGAGAAACTTGTTGAATTTGATAAATGGTTTTTTTTTTTTTTTTTTTTGTCAATTTCACTATAAAAATGATGTAACTTGTAGAAAGTTAACATGTGACATGAGTTTGGTGGATTGCGCAAATTTTATTATGAAACTTGCAAACTGTAACCCTTTTAATTCATGGATATTTTAATATAGGTATATGCTTTCGTTCAAAATATTTTGCTCTATATATCATATGCAACTTTCATTTTATTCAATTTGAAGAAGAAATTTTGAAAGTCGTTAGTTTCATTTAATTTATTATTAATTTAATTTAAAAGTATAAAATTAATTATTAATAATTTATTTTGAATTAAATAAATAAATAATATAATTATCTAGTAAATGATTATTATTTTAAAAAATTTTAATTTTAGAAAAATAAATAATGTATTAATTAATTTTTATTTGCAAAAATATAGGATGGATGGAATTGTTAATATTATATATTGAAATGGTAAAATTTATGAAAGAAATAAAAAGAGTGAATTTTGAAAGGAATAAAAAAATGATTCAAATAAAACGAGGAATAAGTTTTTAAGTTTTAAGAAGAAAAATTCATTTGAAACTTAATCTTGTTTATAGTCAAGTTATTTTTAGATTAATTTCATATTTTTTTATTGATGAAAATGGTAGACAAAACACAGTTTTGAAAGAACTAAAAAAGTGATTCAAATAAGACGAGGAATAAGTTTTTAAGTCTTAAAAAGAAAAATTTATTTGAAACTTAATCTTTGTCATAGTCAAGTTATTTTTAGATTAATTTCATATTTTTTGATTGATGAAGATATTAATTGCATGATAAGTGCATGTTAATAACATAGAACTATTATTGAGTTATATATGGATGTCATTATTAGTTGAAGTTCATTAGTTCTGTTGTAGATGATAGATTTAAATTTATCATTTTCACAGTAAAATGATAAAACCTTGTGAATTTTGATTACTATCAAGATAAACTTATATTTACAAATTGTTTTATTAATATATTTATTTGTTAGAATTAAAAGTTATGAATTTTTTGTAATAAAAGAATTAAGAATGATATTGATGAAGAATATGAAGACTCAGATTATGATGATTATGGTGATAGAGATGTTGAAGGAGAAATTTTGTTAGATAATTTTTCTTCTATTGATGTTAAGGACAAACTTGATTCCAATTAACATATACAACAAAAAAAATAAAAAAGATGTATTATCAAATAATGTCTAAAATGTGTATTTTTAATTAATTATGTTAGCATTAATGAGAATAGTTTTTACAACATGCAAAGCAGGAGAGAGTGTAATTCCTATTTGGAATGTAACTCAATAAAAATTTATCAAAGTTATTTTGTAGCAAAGTCTAAACCAACATGTTTGTATGTGAAATACTTGAATTATAGTTTATTGAAGAACTTAAACAAGTGAAAAATTACTAGGTGAGGTGATTTGCATACATTTGTCAATCTTAAAATTTCTCAAGATCATCAAAAATTAGATTTAGATTTAATTTGTTCATGCATTATTGGTAAGAGAATCTTTAATATATTTTAATAAAATTATGATATACTACCTTCGGTCCTTTTTATAAAAAACAAAAGACTAAATCTCTAGGACCAAGAAAAGTAATTAAGTTACTAATGTTTTTATATAAATTTTATTTTAACAATACCCATGATATTAAATGTTATAGTTAGTAATTTATACAATTAATGATACTAATAAAAGAAGGGTATTAAAGAAATTTAACAATTAATACTTCTTGAATCTATCATTTGTTTCTTATAATAAAGGCCAAGGAAATGCTCTATTTTGTTTCTTATAAAAAGAAACGAAAAGAGTATGATGTACACAATTATATAATTTTTAACTAAATTATTTTAATTTTATTTAGGCATATTGAATAAAGAACCATCAATAAATATTTCAATGTGATACAGGACATAATAAGTGCTTAGTTTGGATACATAAAAAGGGAAGGGGTGTGGGGATGGGAAGGAGTGAGGGTGAGGGTGGGATAACGGAGAAGGGATTAGGGAAGAGAAAGGGAGAGAACTTATTTGTAATTATGTAAAATGTGTTTAGAAATTTATTTATAAATATTAATTTTAAATAATAAAATATTATTAAATTAAATAACGTGACATGTTATATGTAAGTGCTAAACTCAAAAGAGAGTGGACAACAGGAACTAAATCTTAACTTCTTAATTTTTTAGGAAATAAATTCTAACAAAAAATTTTATAAGTAATAAATTACAATATTTACAATTTACATACCATACTTAAATAAATAATAAATATCTTATAAAAATTTATTACAATTAAATTAAATATAACTCATTATTATTATACAATTGTTTAGTCAACTATATTTTTTTTATTCTTTAATTTTACAAAAATATAAAAAATGCAATATACAACATTATACTAATAATATTATGCAAAACAATAATTAAAAAATATCATTAAATTCTTTTTTTCTCTAACAACTAATTACGATTTACATTTTAGTCAACTATATTATAACCTAATTATTATTTAATGATATTAATACTTTTGCTAAATAAGAAGACAAACTAATGTTAAAATATTAAAAATTAAAAAAAATTACTAATTTTCGTTGCAATTGTTCCGCCACTCACTATTCACCAACCACATAATCACTTGTATTAGTTTATACAAATTATAAAATTAAGTTTTTTTTTCATTTTTCATATTTTTAAAATAATAAATAAAATATAAAATAATATATAAAAAAGATATAAAATAATTAATACCTCAAATAAAAGTCTAAAAATTAAGAAAATTTAGTCACAAAATCTTCAATGCCTAAACAATTTTTAAAGAAAAAAATGGAGGAGAGAAAGGTAAGTGAGAGGAAGAAGGAGAAGAGGAAAAGAGATGTACGGAAAGAAGGCTGCAAGAGGTTATTATTTGACCTGACACATGTCAACTAATAGACGAATTTTGTCAAAAGTGTGGCAAAAGCCATATTCGCCATTAATATCATGAAATTGTTGTGATGTTGCCACATATCTACAAAACTACACATAACGCTAAGTGCCACGGGTCATCGCCCTTTGAGTTGCACCTTGCTAATAGCGAAATTATGTTTGGTTTTCACCAAGGTTGTAGTAAAACCTTCAGATCTTTGACACGTGGTGACATCTAAATAATTTCATGCTTTCTGTGGCGGAATTTATTTTAAAACAATAAAAAATTTAAAACTTTTGTTAGCGGTATTGGTGAAATTTTTGACATGTGACCAAATTTATCCTAGACAAAAAAATAGGTTAAAACTTAAATTAAATTAAGAATTTGTTTTTAAATTTATAATATTTAAATATAAAAGCCTAATTAATGCGATATTATGATAAAGAAAAGAAAGAGTTATCAAGAAAAAAAAAAGAGATGGAAGGAGAAAGACATGTTTAGATTATATCAAGAAAAACGTAGCCAATCCATTAAATTATAAAAATATAACATTTAATAATCCAAGATAAAAATTCATATAGAAAAGGGAAAGGTAAAGAGGGGACCTAAGAAGTGACCTAGGCAATGGACATTCACAACATTAACGCTGCAGAACCATAAAACCCAAGAAAAACTAAAGAAGCTTCCATGACAAATTGAGAAGTAATCAATAAAAGCTTTAGACCACCATATAAGGACCAAAATAGTAGGTATTCATGACTATGAACAACAAGTTGCAGGCCCTATGAAAATGCTAATATTCGGAGGCCACATTTCTTAAGATGGGGACATGATGCCTCACCCTCTAGTTTCATATAGGTAAAGCTTGAAAATAGCAAAATGGAATGTCACATTATAGAGACGCCACATTCTAAAATAGAAAAAGGAACACCGGGTGAAATGATGGAAGGGAGATGATTAGCTAAAATACTAGGCTACTTAGAGAATGTATCAGCTACTTGAAGAGCAAGCCAAGACACAAGATAAAAGAG